ATGGATATCCCACAGGAAGCTGTCTCCATTCAACACAACACAAAAGCAGCAGAGCCCATCATAGTTGAGAAAGGCTATTTATATCTGGCCAGGGCGAGGCTTCACTCACTTATGAGATGTTTTTATACAATATATTATGCACACTTTAGATGGACCACATTCCCTGAGAAAATCCAGTTGGAAGACTGGAAACTGGAAGATGTGTTTTGGAGACTGGTCTAATATGGTCATCCCAACTGATGGATGGATTTAGAGGGGTTCAGGCTGGTAGACTAGCTTATCATCAAACTAAACTAAACTACCTGAACACCTGCTTCAGAGACCAGCTAGACTTGGATCTTGACCAGGCTGAGAGAACATTGTAAAGCAGATTGAACTGTAGTAGTCTGGTTTATTATCTTTTTTTGAAGCTGGTCAATATCGTGTCCTAACATGTCAAGGTGGGCTTTTGAAACATTGCAGCTGGTCAACCAGATGCTCTTATACCAACTAGAGAACCAGCTTTGACAGACAAGATAGTGAGTTGCTGGAGCCTGGTTCCAGACTAAAATGCATGTTTGAGCTGTTGTAACTAAAAGCAACTTGCATTGACATATCTTAAAATATGTCAGGGCTGTTGTTTTGTCTCAATATGCACACCAGTAAGTTTTTTTTCAAAGGCACATTTATAAAAGCTATTTAATGCCCTCATTAAACTGAGGCCTAATGCTGGCTTAATCTGAGCCCTATCTGTGAAACTGGGCCAATGTTAATTGTAACAGGTGCTGCTGACTGACCAACTATTATTTTTCTTCCATATAAATTTTAACCCAATTAATGTATGTATTTCAGCCTGTGCATTTATCTAAATATGCAGTGAATCAACTAACTGTTTATTAGATCTCATCATCAGCATGAGACAATGCAATACAGCAGCTGTCTGAAGGGTGAGGCATCAACAAAGGATTTGCCTCCTCAGTAACTCATTTAGTTACTCCAAGGGGGGGGGGGGGGCAATAGCTGACTCAAGTGGTCTTGCAAGTAAGCAAAACACTCAGCAAGGTTTTAACAATCGCAAAATAGCAGGTTAATTAAAGTTATGAGTCTCACCTCCTCCAGTGCGGCTACAGTATTCCTGCAGTGAGTCATTCTCGTGGTGAAGTTTGAGGCGGTGGGCGATTTATAATCTTCATTGGTCTCCGCCACAAACTCCGCCACTGTGATCTGGTCCGGCATTGTATTTCCTTTCGCAAAAACCACAAATGTCGCTTTTAATCCTTTTAATGACCGGCTGTGGTGCGTTTAATGTCGAAATTCAGAGATACAATGACGAAATAAAACTCTCATGAGCGTCCTGAAGTCTTATCATCGCTGTGGTTTGTCCTCGGTGGATTAAAGACAAGTTGGGAATTAATAAAAATCATTAGCCAACTACAGAGAAGTGACGCTTCTACGACGGGAAATCTCTCTCCCACGCACGGTGTCGGTTCTCACTTCTTCCACCAGTGATAGAAAGTGCGAATTTAGTCCACCCGTTTTATAATAAAACAGTCTGGTGATGTAGTCCGCATCTGTTAAGGGACTGTAGTGTACGTTGTCGTGCTGGGATTGCTGCAGGCTTTTGGGTCGATGCAGCTCTTGCAACGCAATTCAATGAAAGCGCAGAAATTGACAAAGTAAAGGTGGAGGAGATTCAATGGGAAAGGAATGACCAATGAGGAAGCAGAGCTACCAGCTTTAAGCCAATCGTAACTGACGCAGGGCGTGGTCTGCTTGTAGATCGCCTTTAGGATCGTGAGCGCCTCTTAAGGTGGAGAAGGACATTTTTAAGCGTGTGAGTAAAAGAAATTGACCTTTATTCTCTCTCTGGAGCCTAAGAAACTTTTTTTTACAAGTGTAAAAAATTGTGCATGCTATCACAATGTAATACAGAATTATATGTATAAAGTTAGTTCGCCCAACAATAAAATTCTTATTGACTTTTGGCTACTCATGCTCACCAAGGAATTCGTTTTTTAAAATGTTTGTGTGTGTGTGTGTGTTTTCTTACAAATGATTCATTTAAATGTTTTTGTTACAAATATTTTAGGCAGCTTTCCCATACAATTAAACTATACCTTTGATTTTAAATCCCAAACTCCAACAAGATCAAAACAATTCATAAAAAGTCCATATGAGTATTCAAAAGTCATTGAGGAAGAGACTGAAACTGAAGTTCTTACTGACTAATAATCATTACTTTTGAAGTTGCCCAATAATAATGTGTGTGTAAAAATATAACAATTTATGCTTATTATAAGACTATAATAATTTCTAAAATATTTTAGATTTATCTTTTGTGCCTCAAGAAAGAACCCCTATACTCCTTCCTGGATGAACATTCATTAGCTTGTAGAATAAGAGTACTTTTAGTGACACATTTATTAGTTGCCACCTCTTTCATAAGCTTCATCCTCCCCTGACTCTGAAACAAAAGACTAATTAAAATGATAATTCTGTTATTGCTGCCTGTAATGAGGCAGTCTTTATGAGCAGTTTGATTCACATTGATTATCAGATAAGGTAGTTTTTGTTCTCCCGTGCTCAAGATATTGAGTTGGTATTTTATATTTTTAATATCCAGTATATATATATATATATCCAGTATATATATATCCAGTATATATATATATATATATATATATATATATATATATATATATATATGAAGAGTTCAGATGCAAAAGCCTCTAAATGCCATTTGAAATTTTCTTCTTTAATGATGATTTTTATCAAACTTGAATATTTAAGTTCAGTAATTTCACTTAAATAACAATTAATAGGTAATTATCATTGCCATTTAGGTGAAATTACTGAACTTAAATATACAAGTTTGATAAAAATCATCATTAAAGAAGAAAATTTCAAATGGCATTTAGAGGCTTTTGCATCTGAACTCTTCATATATATATATATATATATATTGTATAAGGAGAACAATCAGAGTTTATTATCAGGTTATATCAACATAAATAATTCACAAAATCGTTTGTCAGTAACACACTTTTAACAAACTCCATATGACAACTTCAAGAGATGTTTAAGTGATCAGAATATTAAAAAAATAAATAACATTCGCAGAACAGTGCTTTGGTTTCATTTTCTGCAGATTTGTGCTTTATTTTTTTGTGCTCCACTCAAAGCTCATAGTGAAAGCATGCAGGGTTGATTCATGACCTCTGCTGGTGTGTCTTAGAATAAATGGTTTCTTATTGAGGAGGTTTACTTTAGAGATTTATATATATATATATATATATATATATATATGAAGAGTTCAGATGCAAAAGCCTCTAAATGCCATTTGAAATTTTCTTCTTTAATGATTATTTTTTATCAAACTTGTATATTTAAGTTCAGTAATTTCACTTGAATAACAATTAATAGGTAATTATCATTGCCATTTAAGTGAAATCACTGAACTTAAATATACAAGCTTGATAAAAATGATCATTCTAGAAGAAAATTTCAAATGGCACTTAGAGGCTTTTGCATCTGAACTCTTCATATATATATATATATATATATATATATATATATATATATAAAAAGTAGGCTATATTTTATATATATATATATATATATATATATATATATATATATATAAAATATAGCCTACTTTTTTAAATATTTTTTTTGAACTGCATCTTTTTCCTATATCTACTCTATTTTCTTAGTTTTTATGTATACTTTTTGTATCTTTATTGGATCAGACCAACTATATTTGTAGCCTATACTCTGTCAAATAAAATGCAAGAACTGCTACTTGGTCTCACTTCTTTTGCTCATTTGTTGTATGATATGGGTTAAGTTAAAGTCACCATGAAATCAAATCAATATCCATGCACATAAATAAAAAATCAAAATAACTTCTCCTTCCTACAGCAACATCTCTTTTCTGATCGTGTTTATCGGGGCAAGGGCGGGACAACCTGTTACTCGCATGAGATCCCGCAACCATCCAATCAATTTCCAATTGCCATAATCAAGTCCTGCCCTAATTTTTTTCTTGTTCGAGAAGACATTTTTCTCTGAAATATAGGTCACAATTGGAAATAAAAGTCTCAACACAACTTTCATTTCATGCCGACTTTAAATGGTTTCATTAAGTTTTTGCAACTCAATGAATGTTCCTCATAATAACTCATGCAAAGCATTATTGAGTGTAGGAAAAATGTTGATAACTTGTTTAGTGGGGTCAAAAGGAACTTTTCAGCAGGTACTGATACTGCAACATGACATCATGACTTTTGCATAAACATAAGCCACTTTCAAGTCAAGTGGCGCGTGTTATATACGCAATTACGCATTTTGAGCTGTGCGCGTGTACGCGTGTATGTATACGCCGTTAAATGTCCGAACGAAACGAAGCAAAATGTAGATCTACATCTGATCTGGGGAGCGATAGTAGGGCAAGACTCATAAACCGTATTAACCAGTGACGGGTAGGTTTAGGAACGGGTTGTGGTAAAGTAGACAGTAATGTAACGTTAAGTCAACGGCGTTCATAAACACGCTATTGTGCGTGTTGATAGCACGCCAAAAAAATGCAAGTACGAATTGGCGTGTCATAGCCTACATACGCCATTCCTAAAAACTTCTTTATTTTATTTTAAACTTAACCTGATTCAAACATATTAAATTAATATTCACTTGAAACCAGTTCCACATGAAACCCATTTTATTAAGTTAAACATTTAAAACAGTATTGGCACTGCCTTTATAAAGAAAGACTAGCTACTATAAGCAATGTATAAAAATAAATTAACACAATAGGTTTATTGGTGAGATGGTTTTATTTAAAAATATATATATATGAGTTAACTTATGTATTAGCCTAAACCGGGGTTGTAAGCTGTAGGCTATTATTACAGTAAGCAGTTTTTCTGAAGATAGCTCTCGGCTCGTGTGTCTTTAAAAGAGTCACGCGCTTCTATCCTATGTGAACGAGAAAGGATTCAGTACGTGGAACAAAATGATTCAAAGATTTGAACTCCGAATCATTTACAAACGGAGCTCCGGCTTTGCTGCTTCTTCCTCCTCGCAGTCTGAGGTGAATTAAAGTCGTCGGGTGTTGCTGTTACAATGTCGACATTAAAGAAAGTTGTATGGCCCCAAATCATTCTCTTCGGTGACTCAATAACACAGGTAACAGTTAACATTTTGGGACACTGCCGTTTGAGTTTTAATACTTACTGTAACATGCTTTTTTGTTTCAGTTTGCCTTTCAAGCGAACGGATGGGGGTGTGAAATAGCTCATAAACTCGAGAGGTAACGTTACAGATTTCAGGACAGCTCACGGATGCATCATTGTATTCACACCGCCACAGCTGATAATTATTATTTAAAAAAAAAAAAACTAATGATTTGATAATTTCTTTTTTTTTTATTAGAAAATGCGACGTGGTAAACAGGGGCTTGTCGGGATACAACACAAGGTGGGCTAAGATTGTGCTTCCTCGCATTGTGCCCATTTCTGATGCTCCTATTGCGGCTGTGACTGTTTTCTTTGGCGCTAATGATTGTGCTTTGGAAGGTAAGACTGTCACGTGTGTTGTGCATCATTGCTAAACAACAGCGGCGGTGATGTGATGACAATAGTTTTTTACAGACAAGAACCCCGCGCAGCACGTGCATCTCCAGGAGTTCTCGGAGAATTTGAAGGACATTGTCAGATATCTGGTGTCTATAGGAGTGTCCAATGACAAAATCATCTTCATCACACCGCCACCACTTCAAGAAGCCGCCTGGGAGAAAGAGTGCTTGCTAAAAGGTGATACACCGACCTCCTGCATGCTGGACACTAGTGCTGCTTTGCAGTATATTCAGTGCTTAGTGTAAATTCAGTGTTTGTTTTGCATTGTGGGATACTGTGTGTGCTGTTGTACACTAAACAAATATAGATAGTGAATATACTTACTCTACAAAAACCTCAGCAAATATACTCTACTTTCAAAAAGTATTAATAAAGAATGTGCACCAGGTGTTTTAGCTGCAAATTGAATCAAAAACGGAATCAAAAATATACACACATGCGTTTCATTGAGGACTAACCTGAGCTCTTGGTGGAGTCTGTATCAAGACTGGCGACTGTGCTTGACCTAGACAGGCCTCCCAAACTGGAATCTACTGACTGTAAAAAGGGAAATTACAACTTATAATGAACTAGGTGGAATATAGGAGTCAACAAACAGAATTGCTGAATCCAAATTCACTCTTAAATTATTAGGTCCCACATCATAGCATGTTGTACTTTTTTTGAATTATGAATCCATGCATGCCTTTTGAGCTAATACTGGCCAAAACCTCTTTCACTTTCAAACCTTATGAAACTTGTATCACTGCATATTGCATGCCATTTCTCAAATTATTTAAAAATATAAAAATTTTGGCTGTATAGACGGTGTAGTAAGCAGTAATCTAATATTTAATTAGAAAGATAGCCTCAGTCTCTCTCACACACACATTGATTATGATTTTCATCAGGTTCAGCTTTGAATCGGTTAAACTCTGTGGCTGGTCAGTATGCGCAGGCCTGCGTTCAGGCTGCAGGACAATCTGGTGTGGATGTTCTGGATCTCTGGACACTCATGCAAAAAGATGGACAGGTAACGCACATGCTGGCACATACTGTTATCAATGAGCATGTACTGTATAAATATAACGAATATACGGCAAACGCATGTGTTTCTCCCCTCAGGATTTCTCAGTGTACCTTTCAGATGGACTGCATCTTTCTGATAAAGGAAACCAGTTTGTGGCAAAGTATTTATGGACACTTCTTGAGAGGCGAGTGGCTAACTTGCCCTTCATTCTGCCTTACTGGGGGGATGTGGACCCAAAATGCCCTGAGAGCAGTCTACTGTGTGATTAAACCTCAGGTCATATGATGCACAGCGGATGAAACACCATTCAGTTCCTTTGGTTTAAATTGCAATATTTTTGGATACACTAATTATACATGGTGGAAGGACCAGCCACCAGCCCTATTTGCAAACAAGGAGTATTTTGAGTTACTTAAGCAAGTAAAATGACAAATGTCACAGATTATGTTTGATGTTCTGCCAAACAATATTCAGATTTCTGTATTAAAGTTTTGGTGAGGCCAATTGATTTCCTGCCGTTTAAACATACACACACAAAGCTTTTAGTAGGGACAATAACCACTTTCATTTTATATCTCCTTGCAAAATTCCTATGTATTTTTTTCAGCCTAGGTTAATTTCTAAATTAAATAGAAACACTTCAGCGTAGAGGCAGTTTATTTATAAGGGTTCATATCCCTAGAATATGTTGAATAAATGTAACAACCAAGTATCAGAAAAACATTTAAGGATAGTAGTTTGATATTTCTAATGAGAGGTTTTAATTATTTCTGATTTTATATACAGGAATATAAGAAACAATACAAAATATATATATTTAGTCTATTGACTTATGGCACATGAAAACGTTGTTAAAACTCAACTTTAATAGTCAGTCTGATATTTCACAGTGGGGGCATAATAGTCTATACTAATACTAATGATTTTGGTCACGTCTATACATTCGTTTTAGTGGCAAAAAGATGAAATAATGAAATATGCACATCCCTGGCTCTGTAATCAGTGTTTCACATATTCACACAGGTATATTAAAATGACACGAGATGCTGTAGAGAGCACATACTAAACTGAACAAGCTTTAAAAATAGGGCTGTCAAACGATTAATCGCATCCAAAATAAAAGTTTGTGTTTAAATTATTTTATATATATAAACACACACACATGCTTGTATATATTTAAGAAATATTATATATATATATATATATATATAAAATTTATATTATATATAAAAACAAATATTTTATATATAAATAAATATAAATAATTTTTTTCTTAAAAATACATGCATGTGTGTGTGTATATATATATATATATATATATATATATATATATATATAATTATACACAGTGTACCCACATAAATGATGTAAACACAAACTTTTATTTTGGATGCGATTAATCGTTTGACAGCCCTACTTAAAATATATGACAACATTTTCAACACCCTGTGCACTTTCTATCATTCAGCCAAGAAAACTTGTTATACATAGCATCACCTCTACAGTTCCCATTAACACACAAGTAATTTATATACATATGGCATAGAACATGCAAAACTTGAATTTTGTCAGCGAGTCGACCAGTGCAACATTAAAAGTGTGATGACATGTATAGAGGTGTGCTGTAGGCCTGCTGCTCGTGTTTTTAATGAGGTATAAATGAGTGAGAATACAAGAATTTGCACAACTGCAACTGTGTTAACTTACAAGGCACATATTGACTGGTTCAAACGACATGAGGGCGATTGAATAATAACAGAATTTGTTTTGGGTGAACTGTCCCTTTAAGCTCTATAGACAGCATCTGATTTGTCAATTATCACAATAAAATAATTTTGATTTGTACTTCAGATTATAAAAACAACTAAAAGTACCTAAACAGTTACAAATTATTAAAGGAACAGTTCATCCTAAAATGAAAATTCTGTCATTATATACACACCTGCATGTTGTTCCAATACTTTATATAATTATCTTTATACCGTGAAACACAAAACAGGATATTCTGAAGGATGTTTTATACTGTTTTCGTCCATGCAATGAAAGTTAATGGGGTCCAAAAAATATTAGACACTCAATGTTTGGACGGAAAAAAAAAGAAAAATAAAGTGTTTTCCCCCTCCCATGTAGCGACATGAGGGTGAGCAAATGGCTGAATTTTCATTTTCACTTCAACCCCTAAAACTTTCATTACAAATTCATTCAAGTTCATACCCGTCAATGTGTATTTTTGCTCGCTATTAAAAACTGATAGGCTAGTCGCATTTCGCAGTTGTCCAAAGCCATATTGAATGTATTCCTTTAATTTAACCAAACATCAGTTATTTATCTTAGCAGTTACTGACTTGCTTTTAAGTGACACTATTTGTAAGGACAATTGTGCATTAAAAGAATGCTACAAATTGTTTAAAAAACAACCGAAATATGTCAGCAGTCAACACATCACATAGACTTTTAAACTCACCAACAAAATGAATCCTGATTGCACCGTTTATTACGGCTCGTCTCAATCGAGTGATCTTTGACTTGAATACGAGTGTTCTCAGCACTCGGTCTCCTTACTGTCAATGCGCGCCTGTCTCTTCAGCCGTCTCTTGTCCCCGCGGGATGGCATTGCCTGTCCGGTGAGGTCCTCGAAGGACCTGGCAGCTGTGGCGCTTTGAGGGAAGCCTTCCTCCTCGTCCAGGTGAGAGGAGTCTCCGCTGGGGTCCTCCTCGATTGTGGCCATTCGCAGCAGATCCACTCTGGGTTCGGCGGAGAGGCTGGCAGGGCCTGGGGCGGCGAGCGTCTCCTGTGCCGATGACACGGCGGGGCCCGTTGAGAGCTGAGGTCGTGCTGCCATTGACGGCGGAGGAGCGACCTTGACGATGCGGAAGGGCAACGGTTCCTGACTGCTCTGCATCTCTGCGCTCTAAGGATAGAAGTTTGTGACACAATCAGTAAGGAAGGCTTCCGAACAGCTTATCATGATATTCACTACATCACTAGGGATGGGCACGAGTACTGCAAGTGACAGCAATGATCGATTTTAAAAGCACTATTATTGGGTCTCATAAAAACATCTAGACCAGTGGTTTGCAAACTCAAAGGTCCAGCATTGTCCAACACAGTAGTCCCCCTGCAGTCAATAATTGCTTTCATTAAAACTCTTCCTTGATAATTAAAACGACTTTTTAAATGTTTTACCATGCATATGTAAATTAGTCTGCACTCAATCACACCAGCTTGGACTATCTGATCCACTCGGTCAACTGTAGTAAATGCTACACAATGGCAAGTGGAAATATTGGTTTAATTCTGCCATATATACTGTAAGAGGAAGAGCGAATTATACAGGGTCATCTACAAGTCGATGTATCAGAATGGTAAAGTGTTTTATGAGTCGCACTAAACCAGAAATTCCCAAACTATGGCTTGACTACGTTGTCAAACAGTTAATAATATGTTGCTAACGTTACACAAACCATGTTCCAGACAGTCAGACAGCTACCTTCTAAAAATCTGCATCTTTAGAAACACTTTGAACATCATAGAAAGTCAGTGGAGAAAAGACAGGAGGATGATGCACATTGGTGGTGGTTGAGGAGATTCCCCCTTCATATGTAAATTGCGCAAAGCGTTATATAATATAAAAAATTATTATTATTAAAATAAACTGGGTGTATAGAGTATATTAAATTAATTAAACAATATATTTAGTGATTCAAAAAGATAAGAAAATTCTGTATATTTTTCAATAACAATAAACGATTTAAGTTTACATCTTGAATTTTGTGTCTTTTAGCAATTTAAAGCTACACTGTGTAACTCTTTTAGTTTATTCTTAGCTAAAAACACTTAGATCTTTCAAAACTATATGTGCTCATTAATGCATATTTACTTCGTTCAAGTAATAAAGTATTCTCGTGAGGGTATAAAATGCCATTGAAAATACATACGGGTAAGGGGTTCTAATGTCGGTCGCCATCTTGAAAGTACATTAGCCAAAGAGGGACATACCTGTTAATTCAAGCTTCGCCTTTCGCGTTTACGTTTGAGTTAACACTCATGGACGAGGTCGAACTGGAAGCCATGTTAATCTTGGACTACATTGGCCACTGTAGGAGTTAAAACGAAATCGGAGTTGAGAGGAACAGAAACTAATATTCACTGGATGGTCATATACCTTTTCACCGCTAGATGGGGGTAAAAATCACACAGTGTAGCTTTAATTATTGTTTTTAATATAACTGAATAACTGAGGACCCTGGCCCCCTGGTTAAGAACCACTGATCTAGACGTCGCAATGAAAAAAAACCAAAGGTTTGAGGAAAAAAAAAAATTACATGAAACTAAGTGTTTAAGTATTTTTTAACATGACACATCTTAAAACCGTGAGTGAACTGAACACAATGGAAAAACATCTGTATGGTGCTTGAGTACGTAAACCAACTACTGATTTTTTAGCCATTTGTTTCCATTGTTTAAAAATAAAATACTGTATAATCTATTGTTTAGTATTGATATTTTGTTTTGATTATAGCATTTTTACTGAAAATTCACCACAAAAGTAGGCAGAAAATAAAAATTATATGTTTTTCAGTTTTTTGTAAAAATCTATGATCTAATTTTGGATGAAAATTATTCTCACAAATTAGTACAAAGATTAAAAAAATTAAACGAGAGCACATTAATCTTATTTACTGTATGTCAACTATATGAATCGACAAACTGATGCCCATCCCTATGCATAACATGAACAGCATGCTACACTTGAGTTAGATGCAGCAAAATATGCGATCCATTCACATCTCTTGAAACAAATCAAATGAAGAGAAGGGCATCTGTAGCGTATGCAGTATCAAGACACTTTCACAAAGTCGTGCATTTAAAATGCTCAAGGACTCAACTGCATCCAAAAAACACGTTTGAACCAGAAACCCGCAGCACATCCCCAGACACATACAGGACAAGCTGAACTGAACTCAGTCGGCACATCTGACACATCACAACCAGCGCGCTCCGACTCGTCACACCCGGGAGAGAGGGAAATGGGGGTAATGGCGCACACTCACCTGAGTTGAGAGCTCTACTACACACCTCCACTATCATCTGCTGCAGTTCCACAAGGGTCAGAGCAAACAATTCAAAGTCATTCACGACTAGCCCTGATTAAAGACGCCATGCTAACTGAATGTTATTATGTGACTTTGGGGTCGTGAATGACTTGAATGCATATTAGTGTGTTAGTATTCTGATCTCCGCTGCATGAGAGGAGTCCATCTTGGGAGATGTAGTTTTGTGATAGAAGGACTTACACTAGGGAACATCATGGTTTTGGATTTTTCCTCATATTGTTGATCCAGTTTCTTGTCCTATTAGCAAGCAAAGAGAGATGATCACTGTAATGTATTGTTTAGCCAAAAATGACAATTCTGTCATCATTTAGTCACCATAATGCCCTGGGAAAATGGCTATGGGAAAATGCCATCAAATGGTATGAAAAACTTGCAAAATGGCCTTTCAATAAAACATGGCTGTGCCAATACAGTAGAAAGGCGAATATATATATATATATATATATATATTAAATCGGTGCTACCTGACTAGAGAAAACAGGCTATTTGCCTGTCTTTCTTTTTGCCAAATACTTTGGAAAACATCAACACCCATAATACACTGTACATGTTGCCACTCAAGGCCACTGCCAGCATTGTGTATGGATACTAGGGGTGTAACAATATATCGTGCCACAATATATCGCAATACAAAAATACAACAATATGTATCGTGGAAAGTTCCCCAAAATAAAAAATACTGTGTGAGAGAAAATTCTCACAAAAGTTTTAGTGTCAGTACTACATTAAATACTATATATACTGTTGATTATGTATAATAATTCAATAGGGTAATATTTGTGTATCCTGATAATGCCAAATGACTTACCAGTAACTTGACCAGTAAAAAGTGTCCAACATTATTTTAAATATATATAGTCAGAAAAAGTGCAAGAATATTTGTCTAAAATAATTCTGTATTTTCAGCTTCAGAATCATGAATATTGTTATTATTTCTCTTGGAGTATCGCAATAATATTGTATCGTGATATGTATCGAATCGTGACATGAGGGTATCATTAAACCCCTAATGGATACGGTTGACCAGAGTCAAATACTGCCTTGCTTTAGTAGGTAATACTCTTTAGTAAACGTGTAGACATAATTGTGTCGACTTGTATTGTTCCCAGGTGCAAGAATTCAAAGAGTTAACATTTAACTGCAGTTACTTTCGGTTTCCAGTGAAGAATCCGCAGTTTAGTATGCAGTGGCTAAAGACGGCAAATAATCGTAAATACGAAAAGACAGCGACGGAAAATCTGAAGAAAAAAAAAATGTGTTTGTAGTCAACATTTCATACCGTATGACCACAAACAAAGTGAAAATGGAGATAAGAAAAGAAAAGGCAATACTGTCCGTTCCGCCTGAAGCAAAACGACGTTGCGTAAAGTTAAGAAAGCTGTTACCATAGCGTTACATTTTTACCATAATGATGTTTAGAGAGTAGACAAAGTATGATAACATTTGTTGATAAACCTACTCTTGCAATAACTGTTTTGTTAATAAAACTCTGTCTATCTGTCTAATTACTAAAACATACATTTAGATGAAAATGTGAATTCAGAATATTAATAATGAATACTAAAAGTATCATTTGGCTTTAGGAGACTTGGAATATAGTGTACAAGTCATATGGGCCACTTTTATGTTTTTTTGTGTCCTTTTTGGAGCTTGACGGTCCAAATTCACATTCACTTATTGCATGGATTGAATATTCTACCACATGAGTTCACAGAAGAAAATGACAGACGATTAGAACTACACCACGGTGAGTAAATGATAACAGAATTTCAGAAAATTCACACAAAATCAATTCAGAAAAACATTTTGAAGTTTGTGAAATAAGTCTCACCACACAGTGCACCAGTATGCTTAGGGGAATCCAGAACAGGAGAGAGAAGACCACCACTGATCCCACTATGTTGTCAGCCAAGAACTTCCCTGCACATTGACAGAAAAGAGTCACCACTGGCATATACAAAATATACAGAAAAAGACAATTTCACAGCATGATTCCTAGCTAATTTCTCTCTGCTATCGCTTACCAAATGTGTTGATGTCCAGTTTGTCTATGAAGTCCCATAAACGTTCAATGACATCTTGGACCTGCTTCATGCATTTGCCCTGAAATGAACACCACCACAGCATTTATAGAAAACACTATTTATCAGTCTGATAAATGATCATTTCCAAAAGACAGACGAGCAATGCACTCACGTCCCCATCACAGAAGCCAACAGTACAGGGTTTGCCCTTGCGCAGGTAAAGAAATTTCCCTCCACCAACATAGGGAGTGCACAGCCCGTCTCTGCTCCTACAGCAAACTTTACATGAATCCTCGGTCTCTGAAAAACATCACCACAAATGGACAGACTCAGCATTTTTGCATTCATAATGGAGGCTATAACATTGAACACGATTATTAAAATACATAAGTTTCAGTGTACATGGACCATTCCACTTAACAGGCCAATATAGGTCAATGTGATAATGACAAACACCAATATAAGTGCAGGTTCTGAACATGTTGTGTAAAATAGCCTAAAGATTCCTGTAATTTCAGCCTGAAATTAAATAAATTTCATCTTAGGAGACTGGGGATAAAAGTCACATGGTCTGGTTCACACTATCAAAAGTTTTTCTGTTCTTTTGAACTCTCTATTCATAAAAGAAACCTGATAAAATGCATCATGGTTTTTATAAAAATGTTTACAACTTTGATAATAATAAGAAGAAATGTTTCTAAAGCATAAATCAGCATATTAGAATGATTTCTGAAGGATCATGTGACACTGATGCTGAAAACGTAGCTTTGCCATCACATGAATAAATACAATTTTTAAATATATTAAAATAGAAAACAATGATATTTCACAATATTTATGTGCATTTGATCAAATAAATCAAAATCTTCTTTCAAAACCATGAAAAAATGATGAATTACTAATATGACATGCATCATTTTTCCAGGGCAATAATGGAGTAAATTTTCAAAAGCTTAATTGTAGACAAGATATTAAGGTCTTTGTCTATATAGAAATACAAAAAAACATCAACTGAAGTAAAACAAATTGTGATAACTAGCCTGTCTGCCATATATAGAAACAACGTCATATTGTCCATCGCCGCTCACTAGGTATCAACTGGTCATTCAAATAGAGATCTCTGCAGGGCACTAGTGTCAACACAGAGGAGGATTCATCTAGACATTTACCATTGCAGGCGCAGGACTCAAGTTGATGCAAGGCCTCACAGAAAGGCTTGCACTCGCCCTTCTGACATCGACCTTTGTCCACACACTCTGTATTGTCAGCCAGGTTACCAGGCGTGGGGCACTCACTGCTGTTGCCTGGGATACACAAGGGTTAAAAAGTTAACCAACCAAATATAAGAGGTGTGCTTAGTAGTGGTCTGGATAAACTAAACTGACAGTGTGGAGTTTTATGTTATTATGTGTCATTAAAGTTAGTGTGGGCAGGCTGACCTGTGCACCTGGACATGTTTTTGCAGGTGGCAGTGATGGTCTCCTGACAGATCTTGTCTGCACTTTCAAACTTACAGTTCTTGCAGCAGGGGCTGTTCCTGTCACTGAGGGTCACAGAAAACAACATCAGGCACAAATACTTATAGCAACAATGATATATGTGTGAGTATTATTCCTAAAGAAATCATAATCATATGCTAATTTGGTGCTCAAAAACATTTATTACTAATATCAGTGGTAAAAACAGTTGTGCAGGTTAATATTTTTGTGAAAACGCAAGATTTCGGGATTTTCTGATTAATAGAAAATTAAAAAATAATTTATTTAAAAAGCAAACATATATATATATAATATATATATATATATACACACACACACACACATTTTGCTTTAAATATATACCAATGTCTATAAATCTATAGTTTTACAGTGTCTTTATTTGATAATGTAATTTATTGAGCAAAAAAAAAAAAAAAAAAAAAAAAAAACCCATTAAAGACATTTCGTACAGGTTCTTTTTTATTTTTTCTTTATTATTAAATGAATTTAATATTAGTTATTTGATGTATTTTTTTTTTAAATTATTAATATACTATTTAATTTATGCATCAATATCGTGATGCATCTCAGAGCTTGTTGGTCTGGTTCATGGCTTAGATTGAGGTAATTTTTGAAATCCCTATGAAGGCAATAATTGGGGAAAATACTTCAGGAACGAAGACCAAATTGTGAAATAGTGGGCGGTCACTATTATGATTAGATCTGGGCAAAGTTGATGCTAATAATCTCAAAGTGGCTGATATAGTGGTCTATCACGTTTTACCTGCATTTTGCCGGCTTCCTGAATTTGCACTTCTCTGTGCAGCAGGGGTCATCCTGGAGATGAAGCAGTCCAGGGTCGCAGTCTTCGTCCTCCTCCACACGGGAGTTCCCACACAGCTTACTGCTCCTCTCCTTAAAGCACTGGTGGGCCTTAGCCTTTAACGCCTTAATGACGGAGTTCCTGCTACAACTGGAGAAGCGCTGAGGGAAACAATAGGCGTGTGAGAAATAGTAACTACATGTTAAAAGAAATAATCAGCACAGGATGGATAATACCTTGTTGTTGAAGTGATCTCCGCTGACCGCGATAGGGTACATGACATATTTGCCGCCCTGGTCGTCTCTGGGCGCACAACCAGGTACAGTGTCTGGATCGTGTTCAGCTCCAAAGTTGTGTCCGAGCTCATGAGTGGTTACAAGATCTGCTTCCTGGATAGACAATACATCACTGTGCTTCATCTAGTATACAAAATCTAAATGGTATTTAAAGCAATGTATGCAAACCTTAGTCAGAATAGTTTTCCCATAATTCATGGTGCTTGTCAAGCCAGTGTTCAGGTAACTGGGTTTCTTGACAGACTGTGATGGATAGTAGGCTGTAAGACAAAACGAATGTGCAAAGTCAAGCGCTGTTGAGTGGAATTCTATTCACAGTTGTAGAGATCCTTACGTTTAGGGCAGAGCCCTCCCAATCCCTGTTTGGAAGGGGCCACGTATGCCAGACCCAGAGTGCCATCATCAAAGTCCTGATAGGTGAAGAGATGGGCAAGGCAAACTGCAGAGGCGTTGTCTGCGATGTCATAACTGAATTGCTGAAGAGAACCCAGAGAAAGATGAGAAAGTGAGCCAACAAATCTGTGTTTCAGGGCTCCTCTTTAAAACCCACATTCTCTTGGCTTTAGAAGCCACATGACTCTTTTAAATGACAGAAATACTTGATAAAGATGGTCATTCATAAGTAATATACATTTGGCGCATAAATATCCAATATAGTGATCCTGATATAATTATGCCATGTCTCTTGTTTGTAAAAAAAAAATATTTTTTTGTTGAAAATGGTTCTAAAATGTAATTAAAATAATGTTGCCCTTTGACCAATAATATTTCTATATTTTTTTTGGTAACCATTAATTAATTAATTAATAATTTAAATAACATTTTGAATAAATGGATTGATTTATGGTTCACAAACAGTAGTGGATCTTGCTTCATTTCGAGTCAAACAATAGAAAAATGACTCACAGTTGAGTTCAGTAAGAGAGTCTATTGTGAATGAATTCACAGACAAAGATACTATGAATCAAATCGAACATTAAGAGTCATTGTTCAGTGAATCGGACCTCACACTGACTTCACTTTTTTGAGCAGGAAACACTGGCACACACCCTAACCAGATGATATCTGACAAATCCTAAATGTCTTAATTTGAAATGTCTTCTTGGTGCATTTGGGATAATATTTTTCAGTCTGCAGCCAATAACATCGGACTAACACCGAATACAAAGCACATAAACTTCACTGACCCAAACACTGAATTGCTGTTGTGGATTGATCATAACATTTTGACAGGTGTCATTTGACCCAAGGATTTCATGGCACTTACTTCCAGAAGTTTCTTCACATCCCACACACGGCCACTTCTTTCAATTGGGCTTCCATCCATATTGTAGTGATTCTCTCCTGGGGAAACTTTTGTGGGCCATTTATTTATGATTATCTGTTGGCATATTTACATCTTAGATGGCACGATAACACTAACTCATCAAACATTGCACATTGAGATAAAGTAATAAGCATTGAGCACATGAACTCCACTGTTATGCATGAAATGGCTTTCGTCAGAATGGGAGATAATATCCAGATACCAAAAGCCACTTCTGAGAAAGCCCAAGATTAAGTCACACCTTGAGTCTGCTACAAGCCATGTGACAAAATCTGGAAATGTTGGTGGTCTAATGAAACTAAGCTCTTTGTATCAGAGTTGAGTCAGCTGGTATGATCACTTTGACTTGAGTCACCAGTTCTACCAATGAGAAAATCAGCGATGCATTGGGTCAATCCCATAAACCTGTATGATTTTCTTTCTTCGGTGGAACACAAAAGGAGGCGTTTTGAATATTGTTTTCGGTTGTTCTTTTCCATGCAGCCTGGAGCTATCATAAAAGTGGTTTATGCGAATAGCGTGTTATTTTACAAATCGTCTGAAGCCTTTATTTGAGAAACAGACTAAAATGAAGTTGTTATTTACTGATAAATTTGTGGAACAATAAATTGTGCTCAAGAAATGGATCAGTTTGATTTGTTATTGAATAATTCAAAACATATTAATGAACCACTTGTGTGATTCATTCAAGATTTTCAAAGAATAACAACTTGAAAACTTAACTCGAACATACATTATATTATATTATTGGAACATATTTTTAAGGTGCCTTTGCACCCTTTTTGATGCTTTTCAAATGTCAACTGTTCAATTACCCCTTTAACAAATATGAAAAGAAACTAGTCAAACTCATATCCTGAAGTGATGTTGAAGAGAAAAGATGAAAACTGAGAAAGTTATTAAGGTCACCTGTTGAATCTGCACACCGTAACCTATAAATTCATGATCCCAGGATGTGTTCCTATAGATATCATCCACTCTGTCTATCAGCTCAATCTGAAAAACACAAAATGCTCAAATTCAATGTACTTTTATCAATAAATCTGATATCAAGGTGTTAATATGAATCATATCCCCAGTGCATCAAAGTGCTCTGTTGTACAAGAACAATGACATGCCACCTTTCCAGGTCTATTTCATGTGCTTTGCTCACCAAGTAGTTGAGGGTGGTGCTCTCCTCTCCACGGCCCATGTGCTTAAAGAAGCGATGATCTGCCACTAACAGCAGCGGGCAGGTGTTCTTCTTGTGGTCGTATGCAGATCTTCTCTCTCTGTTGTGAGGCTCTGCATTCAAAACATATAAACCATCTAAATATGGTGCACTATGAGTTTTGTTATTTATAATTAGTTATGTAAATCCCAAAGCATCAATGTCCATAAATGGACCCAACCAATTTAAAACTACACAATGGGGACTTCAATGAATATTATAATGGTGGACAAAAAATAAAGTTATACAATAAAATTATTATGCTTTGTCTCCAGAATATTTTAAATTCTCATGGCAAGAGGTCAATGCTGGGTGACTACATGCTTGAATGGACGGCCTTTGTCAGACTAATGTATAACTCCCTACACACTCATGCAGTATCAATTCCCGCTGAGCAAACCATGAGCATGTGAATAAACTGAATATCTATTGTCCATTTAGGCATCTCTCATAACGAAATGTGCCTGTCTCAAAATGGCTAAAAACAAAACAATTTGACCTTTAAGACTACATGAAACAACATTTGATATTTACACTGTTGTTCAGAAGTTAGTGAAGTTTTCAGAAGTCTCTTGCGCTCAACAAGGCTGCATTTATTTGATTAAAGATTCAGTAATATTGTGAAATATTATTACAATTTAAAATAGAGCTTCTATTATTTAATAGATTTTAATATGTAATTTATTCCTGTGATGTCTAAGCTGAATTTTCAGCATCCTTACTACAGTCTTCAGTCACATGATCGTTCAGAAATTATTCTAATATGCTGATTTGGTGCTCAAGAAACATTTCTTATTATCACCAATGTTGAACACAGCTGTGCTGCTTCATATTTTTGTGGAAACTTATAAAAAAAATGTCAAGATTCTTGTAAAAATAAAATTAATGCATCCTTACTGAGTAAAATTATTAATTTATAAAAATAAAAAATTTGAATGGTAGTGTAATTCTGCTAAATAACATATTTTCTGAACTTTTGAAAAAACTGAATATTTAGAGGATAATGTGAGCGGGGCTTGATTTTATTCATGAGGATTTGTTTGCACTTCTCAAAATGTGGTCCATGAAACTTTTCTCACAGTATTTTTAGCCGACCTCTGTCTAGTGTTTTACTGTGTTTAGTTACTGTGTGTGTGTATCTTGTTGATGTCATGTCTACTTTATGATGTCATGTCTACTTTATGATGTCGTGTCTACTTTACGCTGATGTCATGTCTACTTTACCCTGTGCAGCGACCTTGAGCCTGGGAAAGGCACTTCATAAATAATAAAACATATAATTATCATCACTATTATTATATATGTGAATACACACCCTCCTGTTCCGTTTGTCCTGCTGCCTCTTCTGGGAGGAGATCCTGGGCATCAGCGTTCACATATCCACACACTTTGGGTGAGGACAGTCGACTAATATTCTTAATGTCCTCTGAGCGGTACACCAGCATTCGGCCATCAGGGGGCGACTCTGTAAACCGCCACAAGGGCTAACGAAGGTAAGAGAGACTGAAACATACAGTAAAACAAAAAAAAAACAACAAAAACTAATTTTAAATGCTTTAAAGTAACAAATCACCTCTACATTATATTCAGCCTCTTCAGTAAGAATGTGGGCTGAAAACTCATCCCCGTCTATGTGTGCTTGCACTCGTGAGTGCTCCTCTCCTGTTGGGATAGCAAACAATCATGGATGAAAAACAAGAAAATATAGTTCTCGGCTGAGGCTAATAACCTCGTCGCATGTCTTACCCACTACGTGTCCTTTAAAGTAATTCTGTAACTGAATATCATATTGGTTCTCTTTTCCATTCTCATCTACGAAAACAGCCTTGAAGTTGTCCGTGAAAAGTTCTGTGTTGGTTGTCAAGTACAGACTGAAGTTCCTTTGAAAAAAAGATGTAATAAACATGTTTTTAATGCAGTGAAAATCTCAAATAAGAATAAGCCTCAAAATCATTAATTGAGGTCAGAGGTGGCCAAAAGAAAATAACACAAACACTCTCACACATAAAATAGTAGTAATAATATATATATATATATATATATAAAAATCAGGGGTGTTTAGAGAATAAACAAACAAACAGATTATGCCATGTAATAGCAAGAAAGAGGTATGTGTGGATCTGTTAGTTTTACCTCCGGAGAGCTGTGAAGCTGACCAGCCGCTCCACATGTGACCGGGCATCAACATCCCTCTTCCTGAGCGAGTGAAGCTGGAGTCCTGATGCAGGCACCACATCAAAGTCTGACAGTAAGGAGCTGAGCGCATCTGATTGAAGTAATGGACATACAGAGGCAGGAGCAACAATTAATTGAAATAAAAGTCTTTGTTTATATATAATATGTGTGTGAATATAATTATTTTGTGTATATATAAATACACACATAGATTTAAGAATCTGTTATTAATATATAAAACATTTATATTTTATATATATTTATGCACGGTGTATAATTATTTTGTATTATATATATATATATATATATATATAAATACACACACACAAGCATGTATATTTAAGAAAACAATGTTATTTATATATAAAATATTTGTATTTATATATAATATAAATTATATATAAATCTATACAGAGTATATACATGAAAATATATACAAGCATGTGTGTATGTATATATATATATATATATATATATATATATATATGTATATAAAATAATTATAAACAGTGCACCCACATATATGTAAACACAAACTTTTATTTTGGATGCGATTAATCGTACACACACATGCAAATATTTCTAAAAATATATATATATGCACATGTATTTATATATACAAAACAATTATACACACTACTCACACATATATTATGTGTAAACAATCTTTATTTTGGATGCGATTAATCGTTGCCCATTCCAGCAGAACACCACTATTTACCATCACACACACCTTTTAAATCACAAAACATGACTGTAAGTTTATGTATATGATCATACAGTGACCCAAACATAGACTCTAAGGGAAGAATATCAAAATGCCTTTCCATTCAGTCTGCAAATACAGCACCTTCCCTGATTGAGGAAATGAATTAACATTAGCTAGCAGTCCTGACTGAGTCAAAACAGGAAAAGGAAGGAAGACTGAACTCACAAAGCAAGATAGCCCATACATATATATAACCTCATTTAAGAAACCAGTATATTTAGTAGTTTAAAATCGTATTTCCTTGTTGAGCCAATTTAAATAACGTTAGCTTTCTCAGAGTAACTTACCAAACTCTTGTGCCTCTTCCTTATTTCTCAAGTCTTCTTCAAAAGAGGCTGGTTTCACAGCAGAATAGACTAGAAGTGGAGCTAACAGCACTAGATAAAATATTAAAGACTCCATACTTGCGATGCAGCATCACTTCTGTCAAAGCACCATGTTTGGATGGTAACGTAAGTTCTAGTTATGCTCTCAACATCTGACTTACTGTCCGTTATTTGCCAAAATTCACGAGCACCTTCTGTTCGTCTTATTAGACGCGACTAGTATGAAAGAAGGCATCAGATAGTATAATATTAGACAATGATCCGGGTGAATGCTGAATGTCGATAAAAATGAGATAATAAACGTCGAACAGCCACAGCTTTCAGCTGGTCTCAGTCCTTCCTACACATTTTGCTGCGATATCAATCTGAAGAGGAATTTCACCGAGTCTACTTCCGGGCGACGATTGAATTCCCAGGAAGAGGGAACTTTTATTTTGAATTTATTTTTGAATTCGATTTACTACCGGCATCATGCTTATTTTAGGAACATGATTTATGACATTTAAATACTTAAATAAGTAATAAAGCAAGACACATACACACACACACACAAAAAGAGGAGCATTCATCGTTTTACCCAGAATCAACATTACGTTAATTAAATATTCTGCTTTTTGTCATCCAACAACATTCCAAATACAGATGTGAAGACATTTTCTTTACAATTTTAAAACATATATTCAACTAAACTAAAAATGCAAAGCTGTTATAATTATTAGAAATTATCAAATGAAAAGGTGAATGAAATTATTTTACTTGGCCATATTTGGCAAACATTGATTTCTTTTTTCAGCTCGTCCTGAATTTACATTTTTGTTTTTTGACCTGTTTTTAATGGTATTTTTTTTTTTTTCAAAAGTGGCCAACTAAACGGTTTTATTGACATTATAACCAAAATGCAAATCTAAATAAAATTACAGGGAAATATGAACATGAATACATTTTAATGTCACAGTGTTAGTGGCACAGATGATACAAAATATGTTGTTTTTGTAGTTGAATTTTTTATCCTCAAGACTTCACATACATGCAATTTTACATACAACTGTACAAGTGGAATTTGGTTCTGAATTATAGAGAATAAAACACATATTTTCTTTATGATGTATCAAAAACGAACACATGACACATAAAAAGGCCATCTAAGGAAATGTGAAAGGCAAAACTAGTTTTAAAAGCAATGGCAAAGCCAAGGTCCCTAAAAACACAGTCATGTTTTACAGGGGTACAAATCAAAACAAGTAAAATTATAGGCCTAATTAATATTTGGAATAGGCAAAAGTCAAGTGTGGAAGACAGACATCAATACAAACATCAGACCACAGTAGTGAAAATGAAAAAAAAAATAAAAAATAAAAAGACATGCTTTCCAAATTCTTGCTCTAACTCCAAACTATAAGAGCTTACAGGAGTTTTATCTGGAAATATAAAAACCAATCTGCAAGGCTAAGTTTTGTGCAACAAGCAAATTCCTACAAACAGGAACCATACAGTTTTTGGTTGTTTGCAAGATCTATAGTGTACGTCGAGGAGTATTTCTCGGTTTACATGTAAAGCCACAATTATTTTTAATTAGATTTAGCAATAGGAACAAATGACATTTCAAATAGAAACATGACGCAACCCAAAAAACAAAAAAGTGAATAAAAACAGCACTTGACTGAATTCAAAAACCCTGAAGGAAACGTTTATATTGTACAACTAATATTTCATAATCACAGTATGCAATAAAAAAGAACATCAAATGCAGTATCACACCAAAAACAAAATATACAAGCAGCTAAATTTATAAAGCCCATACAACATCAGAGTTCTGCTTTGAGTATATGTACCCCGGTCAAAAAATGTTCCCTTATCAATGTCTTAAAAACCTGCTTGGCATGATTGTCAATATTTACATAAGCATTACTTTACATGAAATGGCCAAATGTTGCTGAATAATGAGCATAATTAGATTCAGCTGGATCAAGTAACTTGTGTGCTGTTCATAACTGACAATGATGCTGTGCTTTAATTTTATCATGCTGATTCGTACTTCAGAATAATGTACCAAAATCAATTTTGAGATCTACATCATGGCCATTTCATCTATATCACAACATTTTAGATACATATGCATAAAGGTATACCTTTAAACATCACACAAGTGCCAAAATTATTCATCTAAGAGGACCTGAGGATAAATATATAAACAAAAAATTATAAAATAAAACAAAAAAACATAAAGCTCTCAGCTACAGGAGAGAAAACCAGTGAGGTACTCAAAAACTTTAAGGCTAAAACAGGATAATGCAGGTTGCTACCAAAGGATGGAGGTGAATAACAGGTTTAACTTTATAAATACTGTGGGTTCCAGAAGGATAAAAAAAATGTTGTGTTAAAAAAAAAGAAAAAAAACATTCACTTTGTCATATCAACCTCTGATATGGCACAATTTCATTACAGAACGAAAAATGGCAGATGATTAAATCGCACCAAGGATTTTGAGGAAACTTAATGAGCTACATATTATACAGCTACACATATGGCAGGTGCTCTGATTTGAATATTTCTAAGTACATATGATACAACTATTCCAGGTGATGCAGGCAAGATGTTGACATTCAGTCTCATACCTATATTTTAAAACCAGTCAATTAAATGAAAGATATTTAAGTATTTTTAATGGCTTTTTAGAAACTGTTGAACATAATTTGTTTTGAACATATTCTTCCTTTTAACTAAAACACACCAACTTGTCCATATAATCCATTCAGTTCAAGACAGCAGAAACCACAAGTTATATGAACTTGCATAGATATAGTGCTGGATACAAACCTTACTATCTGAAAAAAAAAAAATGAATACAATTCTCAAGTTCAACTTTAGCTACAAAAAAGGAAACTAATTTTTTTCTTTTTTGAAAGAGCTTAAAAAACGATCTATTTGGTTGCAGTATTTTGACAGTTCGCATTTAGATGTTGGGTGTTCAGATAAGCCTTGGCGTGCCACTTGAGTGACACTTTCAGTCGGTCAATATTTGGCATTGTAAACTCACACAACAGCCCTGTTTTGGAATCATATTTATGCTTTAAATCCAAGGACGTCGGACCTCAATCTCAAGGCTAAAAATTGTATTTAAGTGCACTGAGAGAAATTTCGTTGGCAAATATCACCGACATCAACAGCCA